TGGCCTATGACCGATTCCTGGCCATCTGCCGGCCCCTCACCTACAGCGCCCACATGAGTCAGACAGTCCAGAGGATGTTGGTGGCTGCATCCTGGACTTGTGCCTTCAGCAATGCACTGACCCACACTATTGCCGTAACTGCCTTCAACTTCTGTGGCCCCAGGGTAATCAATCACTTCTACTGTGACCTCCCACAGCTCTTCCAGCTCTCCTGCTCCAGCACCCAACTCAATCTGCTGCTGCTCTTTGCAGCGGCAGCCTTCATGGCTGTGGCGCCCTTGGTTCTCATCAGCGTGTCCTATGCCCATGTGGTAGCTGCAGTTCTGCGAATCCGCTCTGCTGAGGGCAGGAAGAAGGCCTTCTCCACATGTGGCTCCCACCTCACTGTAGTGGGCATCTTCTATGGGACCGGTGTCTTCAGCTACATGAGGCTAGGTTCAGTGGAATCTTCAGACAAGGATAAGGGGGTTGGAGTTTTCATGACTGTGATCAACCCCATGCTGAACCCACTTATCTACAGCCTCAGAAATACTGACGTTCAGGGCGCTCTGTGCCAGGTACTGGTGGGGAAGCGATCACTGACCTGAGAGATGACCTCCTTTCCTGCCTTTTCTGGACTGAGGAAAATTTCCCCAGAAGACAGAAACCAACAAACTTTGTTTATAACCATTCTTTCTGTCTCCTGCTGCTGGAGGAGTGGTGTTCTGTGTTTGACCTGTAAGGAAACCCTACATAATTCATTCATTTATTCATTCGACAAATACTTATTAAATTTCTTCTATGATCCAGACAGTCTTCTAGGGCACTGGTGAGCAAAATGGACAAAAGTCTCTTCACTCAAGCAAATCACATGCTATAAAGGTAGGCCAAATAAATAAATAAGCATCATCTTTACTATGCCACATGGTGATACACTCTGTAGAGAAAAGCCAGTAAGACAGGAAAACATGGAGTCAGGTTCTGCCAATGATGCCTCCTGGGCAACTTGCTACCTTGTTTTGGGCTGTGCCCACTTTCTCGGTAGAGCTGAAACCTTGGCAGCAGTTCATGCCTGGGCAGCAAAGCCCTACAGGAAAGGGCCGCTTAATCCCAGCCTAAATAACCAAGAATATCACTACTGATTTTCCTTCCAGAGGGATGTGAGACTCCCTCCAGATTAGAGTGTGGAAAGGTATTTTGAATGGTGGGCCCAGTGCCAAGGATCATTTCTTACCACTGTTCACCTTAGACATCCAATAAAATCAGTTCCATCTCTTTAATACCACACAAGGATCCCATAGGATGATCAGGCCACAGGTGGGGTCCAGAGGAGGAAAGAGCTGCTAAATAAAAACTATGTTAATCGGTACATGAAATTGTAATAGCCTAGCTTGTGCGAGCCTGACTGACTCGATCTCAGTTTCTCTGCCTTGACCGATCAGGTGCATTACTGGGTCACGCCACCCTCAAAGCTTTGAACAGTCAAGAGTGGTTCACACTATTGACAGCACCTGTAACCACTGCACTCACAGCTCTGAACCATTGAGAATGGTTCACACTACTCACAGCACCTGTAACCACCGCACTCACAGCTGTGAACTGTTGAGAGTGGTTCTCACTGTTCACAGCACCTGTAACCACCGCACTCACAGCTCTGAACTGTTAAGAGTGGTTCACACTGTTCACAGTACCTGTAACCACTGCTATCAAAGCTCTGAACCATTAGGAGTTGTTGTTCACACTATTCACAGTACCTGTAACCAGTGCTCTCAAAGCTCTGAACCATTAGGAGTAGTTCATACTGTTCACAGTACCTGTAACCACTGCACTCATAGCTCTGAACCATTAGGAGTGGTTCACACTGTTGACAGCACCTATAACCACTGCACTCAAAGCTCTGAACTGTTAGGAGTGGTTCACACTGTTCACAACACCTGTGACCACTGCACTCAAAGCTCTGAACCGTTGAGAGTAGTTCTCCCTGTTCACAGCACCTGTAACCACTGCACTCAAAGCTCTGAACCATTCACATTGTTCACAGCTCCTGTAACCACTGCACTCAAAGCTCTGAACCACTGAGAGTAGTTCACACTGTTCATAGTACCTGTAACCTCTGCCCTCAAAGCTTTGAACTGTTGAGAGTGGTTCACACTGTTCACAGTAACTGTAACCTCTGTCCTCAAAGCTTGAACCATTGAGAGTGGTTCACATTGTTCACAGCTCCTGTAACCACTGCACTCAAAGCTCTAAACCGTTGAGAGTAGTTCACACTGTTCATAGTACCTGTAACCTCTGCCCTCAAAGCTTTGAACCGTTGAGAGTGGTTCACACTGTTGACAGCACCCATAACCACTGCACTCAAAGCTCTGAACCATTGAGAGTGGTTCACACTGTTCACAGTACCTGTAACCACTGCACTCAAAGCTCTGACCCATTAAGAGTGGTTCACGGTATTCACAGCACCTGTAACATCTCTACTCAAAACTTTGAACCATTGAGGGTGGTTCCCATGGTTCACAGCACCTGTAACCACTCTACTCAAAGCTTTGAACCATTGAAAGTGGTTCACACTTTTCACCATACCTGTAATCGCTGCACTCAAAGCTCTGAACCATGGAGAATGGCTCACACTGTTCACAGTACCTGTAACCACTGCACTCAAAGCTCTGAACTGTTAAGAGTGGTTCACACTGTTCACAGCACCTGTAACCACTGCACTCAAAGCTCTGAACCATTAAGAGTGGTTCACACTGTTCACAGCACCTGTAACCACTGTAACCATGCCCTGCTTGGCAAGTCAACCTGCTACTGTGAATACCCTCTTTCATGATTGAGTGTATGGAAAGTTCCCCCTGCTACCGACCTTGATGACTGTATGGAAATACCCTTAGCAACCAACAATCCTGGGAACTTCCTGCCCCCTGGTTACCAGGCTCCTCCTACTAACTTCCTTGTTCTTCTTCTGTAAAATTCCGCTTCGGCTAGTTTCCCCCTCCCCTACCTAAATGAAGGTATAAAGGTAAGTCAAGCCCCTTCTCTCTCAGCCACCAGCAAATAATGGAACTCAGACAGTGGCACTTTTCTTCTGGCTTGCTCAGTTACAAAAATATGCCTTAAGATCAAAAAGGGAATGTTCCATTTCCATCCCCTGCTACATCTTTCTCTTGTATTTGATAAGTCATCTTCCTGACACATATGATACTTTTTGAAAGAGTAAGCATTCATATTCCAGCCAGGTCCTTGGAATTTTCTTGTAGAATACCCAATACAATATTTTCCTCCAAAGTCTTACTTTTCTATCCCAAACCTTCTAGCTTGAAAATACATGTCAATAAATGCAGTCCCTGGGAGTGATACCTCCTACTAACTTTATTTTTTATTTTTTATCATTTTTTTTTGAGATGGAGTTTCACTCGTTACCCAGGCTGGAGTGCAATGGTGCAATCTCGGCTCACCGCAACCTCCACCTCCTGGGTTCAAGCAATTCTCCTGCCTCAGCCTTCTGAGTAGCTGGGACGACAGGCATTCACCACCATGCCCAGCTAATTTTTATGTTTTTAGTAGAGACAGGGTTTCACCATGTTGACCAGGATGGTCTAAATCTCTTGACCTCATGATCCACCCGCCTCAGCCTCCCAACGTGCTGGGATTATAGGCGTGAGCCACTGTGCCTGGCCTGCTAACTTTATTTTGTTAATACATCAATACCACTCCAACCCAGAGCATTTCCTCATCTTGCTATTTATCCAGGCTTCAGCCCTTTCATTCCTGATTCTCTCCAGTCTCCCTGGGAAGACTGTTGACCCTGTCCTGGCAACTCTGCAGTCCCTCTGCTGTGTCATCCCTGAAACTGTCCATGGATGCACCTGGATCTTGGCTTCTCTGTGATTTCCTCTTGGGTTGACTAGAAGAATGGGCTGAGATAAGGATGTGAAGAAAATATATGAAAGTGGGAGGCAGGAAAGGACTGGAATGGAGCAATGAAGATGAAATGTGAGGATATCAAGATGGATGAGACAGGATGATGAGCAAAAGCAGTAGGAAGGAAGGATAGAAGTGAAAGAAAGGACACAAGGAGAGAATGAGAAGAGAGAAGAATGTCTCTTACCTGATGCTCTTGGGTGTCCAGGCACCTTAAGATTATAGAAGTTGAAAATGGCCGAATAGGAACAGCTGTGGATTGCAGCTCCCAGTGAAAACACAGAAAGTGAGTGGTCACTGCATTTCCAAATGAATTCTTATTGCCCACAGACCAGGAGATTCCTGTGCCGAAAAGCACCATGAGTCTCCAGCATGGCTGTTTCAGCCAGCGCAGCAGGTCTCTGCACAAAAACTCACACAAATCCAGGTGCCTTTTCAACAGGCAACTGGAATGCCTGGGAGACAGAGTTGCCCGTTCGACTGATAAAAAGGTAAACTAAAATAGGAAGCCAGGTGATCTGGCTCGGCTGGTTCCACCCCAACAAGGACAAGCAATCTGAAATGCTCTGGATTGAGAGTTTCACAGCAAGCACTGCTGAACCCTGGATGGTCCAGCTCTGTGGGGAAAGGGCGCCCGCCATTACCGAGGCAGTCCACCACTAGTGAGGTAGTCCGCCATTACTGAGACAGTCTTCCATTACAGAGAGAGTCCGCCATTACAGAAGCAGACTGCCATTACAGAGGCAGTTCTAACTATACCCCTATAAACAAAACTGCAAGGAAGTTCACATAGCAGCTGGGCAGAGCCCATGGCAGCTCAGCAATCCCTCTGCTGGCAGACTGTGACTAGGCTGCCTCCTTGCGGGGCATTGCATCTCTGAGAAAAGGCAGCAGAGTGACAGGGACTTAAAAATAAAGCCACACCTTCCCAGGACAGTGCACATGGGGAAAAAAAGCAGTTATGAGTTCTACTGCACCAGACAAAACGTACCTGCCCAGCAGCTCTGAATGAACAACAGACCTCACAGCTCAGCACTTGAGCTCCTATAAGGGAAAGACTGTTTTCTCAAGCAGCTCCCTGACCCCCATACATCCAAAGAGTCACCTCATAAAGGAAAGCTCAGACTGACATCTGGCGGGTAACCTCTGGGACAAAGATAGCAGAAGAAGAAACTGGCAGCAATGCTTACTGTTCTGCAGCCGCTGCAGGTGATCCCCAGGCAAGCAGGGTCTGGAGTGGACCTCCAGCAGTCCTATAGCAGAGGAGCCTGACTGTTAGAAGGAAAACTAAAAAAAACCAGAAAGAAATAACTTCAACATCAACAAAAATGACATCCACTCAGAGACCCCATCTGAAAGTCACCAACTACAAAGACCACAGGTAGATAAACCCACAAAAATGGGAAGAAACCAGCGCAAAAAGGATGAAAACACCCAAAACCAGAACACCTCTCCTTCTCCAAGGGATCACAACTCCTCACCAGCAAGGGAACGAGACTGGATGGAGAATGAGTCTGATGAATTGACAGAAACAGGCTTTAGAAAGTGGGTAACAACAAACTTCTCTGAGCTAAAATAACATTCTAAATCAATGCAAAGAAACTAAGAACCTTGAAAAAAGGTTTGAAGAAATGCTAACAAGAATAAACAGCTTAGAGAAGAATATAAGTGAATTGATGGAGCTGAAAAATACAACAGGAGAGCTTCACGAAGCATACAAGTTTCAATAGCTGAATGGATCAATCAGAAGAAAGGATATTACAGATTGAAGATTAACTCAATGAAACAAAATGAGAAGGCAAGATTAGAGTAAAACGAAAGGAACAAAGTCTCCAAGAAATATGGGATTATGTGAAAAGACCTATTCTATGTTGGATAGGTGTACCAGAATGTAACAGAGAGAATGAATCCAAGCTGGAAAACATTCTTCAGGATATTACCCAGGAGAACTTCCCCAACCTATCAAGGCAGGCCAATATTCAAGTCCAGGAAATACAGAGAACACCCCAAAGAGATTCCACAAGAAGAGCAACCCCAAGGCACATAATCATCAGATTCACCAGCATTGAAATGAAGGAAAAAATGCTAAGGGAGAAAGGTCGGGTTACCCACAAAGGGAAGCCCATCAGACTCACAGCGGATCTCTCAGCAGAAACTCTGCAAGCTAGAAGATAGTAGGGGCCAATATTTAACATCTTTAAAGCAAAAACTTTTGCATGTTCTTCACATGTACCCCAAAACCTAAAATGCAATAAAATAAATAAATGGGGAAGAAAAATAAATAAATAAATAAGGAAGGAAAAAAAAAAAAACTTTCAACCTAGAATTTCATATCCAGCCAAACTAAGCTTCATAAGCAAAGGAGAAATAAAATCCTTTACAAACAAGCAATTGCTCACAGATTTCGTCACCACCAGCCTGCCTTACAAGGGCTCCTGAAAGAAACACTAAACATAAGAAGGAACAACCAGTACCAGCCACTCCAAAAACATACCAAATGGTGAAAAGCATTGGTACAATGAAGAAACTGGATCAACTAATGGGCAAAACAACCAGCTAGCATCAAAATGGCAGTATCAAATTCACACATAACAATATTAACCCTAATTGTAAATAGACTAAATGCCCCAATCAAAAGACACAGACTGGTAAATTGTATAAAAAGTCAAAACCCATTGGTGTGATGTATCCAGGAAACCCATCTCACATGCAAGGATACACAAAGGCTCAAAATAAAGGGATGGAGGAAGATCTACCAAGTAAATGGAGAGCAAAAAAAAGCAGGGGCTGCAATTCTCATCTCTGATAAAATAGACTTTAAACTAACAAAGATCAAAAGAGACAAAGAAGGACATTACATAATGGTAAAAGGATCAATGCAACGAGAAGAGCTAACAATCCTAAATACATACGTTCCCAATACAGGAGCACCCACATACATAAAGCAAGTTCTTAATGGCCTACAAAGAGACTTAGACTCCCCCACAATAATAGTGGGAGACTTTAACACTCCACTGTCAATATTAGACAGATCAATGAGACAGAAAATTAACAAGGATATCCAGGACTTGAACTCAGATCTGGACCAAGCAAACCTAATAGACATTTACAGAACTCTCCACCCCAAAACCACACTATACACGTTCTTCTCAGCACCACATCACACCTACTCTAAAACTAACCACATAATTGGAAGTAAATCACTCTTCTGCAAATGCAAAAGAATGGAAATCATAACAAACAGTCTCTCAGACCATGCTGCAATCAAATTAGAACTCAGAATTCAGAAACTAACTCAGAGCCGCACAACTTCATGGAGACTGAACAACTGGCTCTTGAATGTTGACTGGATAAACAATGAAATGAAGGAAGAAAAAAAGATCTTTGAAACCAATGAGAACAAAGACACAATGTAACAGAATCTGTGGGACACATTTAAATCAGTGTCTAGAGGAAAATTTACAGCAATAAATGCCCACATGAGAAGCAAGGAAAGATCTAATATCCATACCCTATAATCAAAATTGAAAGAGCTAGAGAAGCAAGATAAAAAAAAAAAAAAAACAAAACTCAAAAGCTAGCAGAAGACAAGAAATAACTAAGATCAGAGCAGAACTGAAGGAGATAGAGACACAAAAAACCCTTCCAAAAAAACAATAAATCCAGGAGCCGGTTTTTTGAAAAGATCAACAAAATTGACAGACCACTAACCAGATTAATAAAAAAGAAAAGAGAGAAGAATCAAATAGATGTTACAAAAAATGATAAAGGGGATATCACCACAGATTCCACAGAAATACAAACTACCAGGAGAGATTACTACAAACAACTCTATTCACATAAACCAGTAAACATGGAAGAAATGGATAAATTCATGGACACTTGCACCCTCCCATGCCTAAACCAGGAAGAAGTCAAAACCTGGAATAGACCAATAACAAGGGCTGAAGTTGAGGCAGCAATTAGCCTACCAACCAAAAAAAGCCCAGGTCCAAATGGGTTCACAGCCAAATTCTACCAGACATGCAAACAGGAGCTGGTACCACTCCTTCTGAAACTATTCCAAACAATACAAAAAAGGGAATCCTTCCCAAATCATTTTATGAGACCAACATCATCCTGATACCAAAACCTGGCAGAGACTCAACAAGAAAAGAAAACTTGAGGCCAATATCCATGATGAACATAGATGCAAAAATCTTCAATAAAATACTGACAAGCCGATTGCAACAGCACATCAAAAAGCTTATCCACCACGATCAAGTAGGATTCATCCCGGGGATGCAAGGCTGGCTCAACATATGCAAGTCTATAAACATAATCCACCACATAAACAGAACCAAAGACAAAAACCACATGATTATCTCAATTGATGCAGAGAAGGCCTTTGACAAAATTCAACAGACTTTTATGCTAAAAACTCTCAATAAACTAGGTATCGATGGAATGTATCTCAAAATAATAAAAGCTATTTATGACAAACCAACAGCCAATATCATACTGAATGGGAAAAAACTGGAAGCATTCCCTTTGAAATCTGGTACTAGACAAGGATGCCCTCTCTCACCACTGCTATTCAATATAGTATTGGAAGCTCTAGCCAGAGTAATCAGGCAAGAAAAAAAAATAAAGGGTATTCAAATAGGAAAGGAGGAAGTCAAATTGTCTCTATGTGCAGATGACATGATTGTATGTCTAGAAGACCCCATTGTCTCAGCCCAAAATCTCCTGAAACTGACAAGCAAGTTCAGCAAAGTCTCAGGATACAAAATCAATGTGCAAAAATCACAAGCATTCCTATACACCAATAACAGACTTAAAGAGAGCCAAATCAAGAACGAACTGCCATTCACAATGCTACAAAGAGAATAAAATACCTAGGAATATAACTAACAAAGAACATAAAGGACCTCTTCAAGGAGAAGAACAAACCACGGCTCAAGGAAATAAGAGAGGACACAAACAGATGGAGAAACATTCCATGTTCATGGTTAGGAAGAATCAATATCGTGAAAATGGCCATACTGCCCAAAGTAATTTACAGATTCAACACTATCCCCATCAAGCTACCTATGATCCTCTTCACAGAACTGGAAAAAATCACCTTAAACTTCATATGGAACCAAAAGAGAGCCCACATAGCCAAGTCAATCCTAAGCAAAAAGAACAAAGCTGGAGGCATCATGCTACCTGACTTCAACTATACTACAAGGTTACAGTAATCAAAACAGCATGGTACTGGCACCAAAACAGAGATAGCACCTTACTCTGGGCAAAGATTTTATGGATAAGACCTCAAAAGCAGAGCCAACAAAATAAAAAATAGACAAATTGGATTATGTCAAACTAAAAACTTCTGCACAGCAAAGAAAAACATCAACAAAGTGAACGGAAAACCTGCAGAATAGGAGAACGTCTTTGCAAACTATTCATTTGGTAAGATTTTAATATCCAAAATATACAAGGAATTCAACTCAACAACAACAACAACAAATACTAAGTAAACAATGGGCAAAGGATCTGAACAAACATTTCTCAAAAAAAAAAACCATACGAATGGCCAACAAGTGTATGAAAAAATGCCCAACATCACTAATTATCAGGGAAATTCAAATAAAAACCAAAATGAGACCTCATCTCACCCCAGTTAATGTGAGTATTATCAAAGAAGACTAAAATTTAAAAATGTTGTCAAAGATGTGGAGAAGGGTAATTCTTATATACTGTTGTTAGTGGGAATGTGAATTAGTATGGCCATTACGAAATGTGGTATGGAAGCTCTCAAAAAAGCTAAAAATAGAACACTACCAAATGATCCAGCAATCCCACTACTGGGTATGTAAGCAAAAGAAAGAAAATTGGTATCTCCAAGAGACATCTGCACTCCTATCACTATTTATGTTACCCAGGATATAGAATCAACCTATTAAGATAAAGAAAGCAGATGAAGAAAATATGGTGTATATATACACAATGGAATACTATTCAGTCATCAAAAAGTCTTAAATCTTGTCATTCATGGCAACATGGGTGAGCCTGAAGGATATTTTGTTAAGTAAGTCAGGCACAGAAAAATAAATACCGCATATTCTTGCTCATGTGTGGAAGCTTAAAAAGTTGCCAGTATAGAAGTATAGAGTAGAATATTGGCTACTAGAGGCTGAGAGGGGGACGAAGTGGGGTTATAGAGGTTAGTTAATGGATAAAATATTACAGGATGGGAGGAATAAGTTCTAGTGTTCTATAGCACTGTAGGATGACTCTGGTAAAGAATTTATTGCATTTTTCAAATAACTAGAAGAGGGAATTTTGAATGTTCTCAATACTAAGAAAAGTTTGAGGTGAAAAATGCTAATTTTCCTGATCTGATCATTGTACATTGTGTATATGTATCGAAATATCACACTGTGCCCAATAAATATGTACGATTATTATGCATCAATTTAAAAAACAATTTAAAAAAAGCTGACATAAATGAATTCTAAACAATGAGGGAGGTTCTTAAGCAGTCTTTGGTCCCCTTACCCATGCTTGAGAAGTCCTTTTTAGAGCCTCAGGTATGACTTAATTCTCAGATATAGATAAACTAAACTATGGTAGCAAAGCAAATAGAAAGTTTGTTTTAGGTTTGGGTCAAGTAAGAAAAAAAGACATACAGATATAAAAATTAAGAAGAAAACAAAGTTAGAAGACAGACTGATGTGAACACTTGCTCAGGAAAATGAGTAAAATAATTTTATTCAAAATTTGAAGTTTTCTTTAGCAAAGAAGGGGACTGAGATGTTTGGGTCTTATTATTGACATGAGAGGACAGACTATGATTTAAAACAGACCTACAGCATTTAAGTATGCACAATAAATTAGTGGCTTAACAGTGAAGACAGAACTTTCAAAGATTTTAAATTATACCTCCTTAAGGTCACTTGGGATTAACAAAGAGGAAAATCTTCCTAGCAGATTACTGAGAACAATTTCCTAGTTCAACTATATATCCCCCCACATCTGTTTACTTATTCAGGAATTATGTAATATTACATTTAAACAAAAAATTCCACATGGACAAAAAAGAGAACTGAAATAATTTTGAAATATTAATGTCAATATATCTATCGGATAAAATTATGTAAGACTCCCAAGTACTACTGTCATAGAATGAAGGGATTTTTCCTTTTACCAGTGACTCTGCCCAGGGCTCCCTTCATGTCTCTGTTCCTCAGGCTGTAGATGAAGGGGTTCAGCATGGGGGCCACCACAGTGTACATCACAGCCATGACAGTCTCCTTTAGAGTAGAATTATTAGCTGATGGGCATAAGTAGAGACCAATAATTGTCCCATAGAACAGTGACACCACAGAGAGGTGGGAACCACAAGTAGAGACGGCCTTGCAGATACCCTTAGAAGAAGGGACCTTGAGGATGGAGAAGACAATTCGTGCATAGGACCCAATGATAAGTAGAAATGGGATGACAAGAATGAGGCTTCCCATGATAAATATCACCAATTCATTAACTCGAGTGTCAGAGCAGGCCAGCTTCAGCAGAGCAGACATATCACAGAAAAAGTGGAGGATCACATTGTCTGCACAAAAACACAACCTGGCCATGAGTAAAGTGTGCAACATGGCGTGGAAGGTGGTCAGCACCCAGGACAGCGCCACCAGGGAGAGACAGAGCGTGGGGCTCATGATGGTGGCGTAGTGGAGGGGGAGGCAGATGGCCACGTAGCGGTCATAGGCCATGGCCACAAGGAGGAAGCTCTCTAGATCCGAAAAATACAAGAAGAAGTACATCTGGGTCAGGCAGCCCGCATAGGGGATGGATGGGTCTTGGCTCTGCATGTTCTGTAACAACTTTGGAATGGTCACGGAAGAGAAGCAGAGGTCAGAGAAGGACAAGTTGCTGAGAAACAAATACATGGGCGTGTGGAGATGGGAGTCCAGTCGAATGAGGATGATGATGAGGAGGTTCCCCAGGAGGGTGGTAAGATACATGGCCAAAAACAGGGCATAGGACAGGTTTTGCTGCTCTGGCTGGATGGGCAGGCCCAGGAGGAGGAACTCTGAGATGCTGGTTTGATTTTGTACAGTCATGCTGTCTTCAGGTGCCTTAAAAACCTGAATAAAAATAAACATGTTTCTATAATGCATGGTCATTAGGTGTTCTTCAGTCGTTGGTTTCACCATTATCCGTAACAACCATCGCTATAATCAGAAATGTGCCACATCACAAAATGCATGCTTCTTTTCACGATGATTGATCTCACCTTTCATAACATGTAACACGATTGACTCTTTCCTTCTAAAGCACTCTGATCTATTAGCCTCTGTGCGATCACACTAGTTGCCTGACACATACTGATCATTCCTTCTTAACAACTGTAATTGGTTTCCTCTCTAACAGTATCTTATATATCAGTGTTTTCTGGGGATTTTTCCTAAACGATTCTAATTGTACAGACCGAGCCCTCAAAGAGTTCGCCTGTCCCCGTGACATTGATTACCATCTACACCTCATGGGTAAACGTATCACCATTAGTATTTAGTAACCAGTTGCTTCCTGATTATCTCCCAGCTTAACAGATCCCAAGGGCAACTCATGATCTCACCCTGCCACTCTCCCAATCCACTCACTCCTCCAGTCTCTCATATCTCAGTAAAAGGAATCCAGGCTCAAGCCAGAAACCTGGGAGTTTTCTTTCATTCATTTATTTCTCTCAAGACCAACATCTTATCCTAGCAAGTCATATAGAGTCTGTACTTCATTCTCCTTCTAATCCACCCACTGCTTATCCCAACTGCCACAATCTAGAACAGGCTGACATCCTGATCCCCTGTCTGGACTACTGGAATGGTCTCTTCATCTCCCTGCTCCTGTGCTCACTAGCCTTCAATCCATTCACACTGTGGAATTCTAAGATAAAAATCGGATCATTATTCTCCTGCTCAGAGTCCTTATGGATTCTCATTACTTAAGATATAGGCAAAATTCTTTTCAAGGACACATGATATTTCATTATCTGACCCATGCCTACCTCCACAGCCTCATCTGGTCCCACAATGAAGCTTGCATCAGCATTCTCCAGCATTCTCCAGAAATGCTGGCCTTGTAAGTCACAATTTCTTGCCTCCAGATGTTCATGCTTGCCGTCCTTCTGTGTAACATCTTCTTCCCTCTGCCCCCTCTTACTTGGCATACTGCTGCTTCGTGTATATTACATGTCACTGGCTTAGCTAAATCTTCCTTTGTCTCCCCAGGTGAGACCTGCTTCTGTGTTTCCACAGCATCTGGTACTCACTCAGCAGCGTTCAATGCCCTTGATTGCTTGTTTATAGCTCAGTTTCCTACCAAACTGTAAACTCCATACAGGTGGGCTGTAAAACCAGCCCAATACTCAAAACTTTCCTACAGAACATCATACAATTGGGGAAATGATGACCCTCAGGTTGTAGGGACACTAAGGTTCCAGCTTATTTACCCTCCTTTGTGACTGCAGCAAGGCCAGCACCTGGCATGGTGCCCGGATATGGCCAATGTTTCACTAATATTTGTTGGCTGTTCTTCAGGCTGAGACATACATTCCTCCAACTTTAAAGCAGCCAACTCCCATTGTAGTTAAACCCCTACGAAATCCTCCCAGAATAAGACTTCACTAGCCTTAACCATTTGGTGCTATTTTTGACGCTTCATTACAAAATTCTGAGATAAACTTCAGACCTATGGAAAATGTTAGACCATCCAACCACACTACCCTTTATTTTAAAAAGATAGCCCAGGCTGGGCACAGTGGCTCACACCTGTAATCCCAGCACTTTGGGAGGCCAAGGTGGGTGGATCATGAGGTCAGGAGTTCAAGACCAGGCTGACCAACATAGTGAAACCCCGCCTCTACTAAAACTACAAAAAAAAATTAGCCAGGCATGGCTAAAAAATTAGCCGTAGCACGCCTATAATCCCAGCTACTCAGGAGGCTGAAGCAGGAGAATCACTTGAATCCAGGAAGCAGAGGTTGCAGTGAGCCAAGATTGCACCACTGCACTCCAGCCTGGGCGACAGACTCTGTCAAAAAAAAAAAAAAAAAAAAAAAGACAACCCATTATGCATGTTTACACTGTCATTTTGGTTTTGGTGTCAATGTCTACATGGTTCAGTTATGTTGACATGAAGAAATGTATCTGAATATTTGTATAATTCAGAGAGAAAGGGAATAAATATACCTACCCTTGTGACCTCACTGTACATCCTCTCCAGATATCCATACCTCAAAATGCCTCTGAGCTAAGAAAACTAAAGGGTCTTGAGGTATATGAGAAGTTCCTTCCTGAAAGGGACGTAGCTGAGTCTAACTGCTGGGATTTTCACCCTGCCGATGCTTAATCTAGCCACATCGATAGTTTTTCACATTTGGACATAATGTGCTAGTACTGTAGTAGGGAAAAGGCATCAAGTGAAGTTTCCTATGCCTGTTTTCTCAGAAGTCTGCCTCCTTGGGAAATGAGTGGGACCAATCTCTGGTGTCAAGGATCTGATTGGAAATTTCAAACCAGAGGGACATCACTTGCGAATACTGCCACTGATCGGGAATATGAATTTCAGCATCTCCCTCAATAATGCCTCTCATCTTCTTCACCTGGCAAATCTATAGTTCTCAGTCTGGACTGCAGAGAAGAATCACAAAGGTCGCTGCTTCTAACACTTTAATTTACATACAAACCACCTGGTGGTCTTGTTAAATGCTGATTTTGATTCAATGGCCCTGGTGTAAGGCCTAATTAACATTTTGAAAGTTAAAATTTTACATTTGGTGATGCCAATTCTGCTGTTCTGTGGACCACACTAGGTAGTAAGGACATGTAATACATTTTAAAAATACAGATTACAGCACCATCCCCCGATACATGTAACCAGAATCTCAGGGAGGGGGCCTGAAGTAGGCTCCTTAAGTAATTAAAATATATAGCCGAGGGATTGAAATCTCTGTATTAAATGCCTATCTCATAGATATGTCACTATGTTGAAATGATACAATCCTGTAAGAGAATACATTGCATAGTATTAATGGACGCTATCATTAATGAAAAGATACTAAGTTGTGAACATTAAATCAAAGAATTTCTGGAACGTGGGAAAGTCTTGAAAGGCAGAGAGATGAAAGGCAGAAAAGGAAAGTTATCATATCTGAAAAACTATCCCATAGAACATCATACGACCGGCGAAATGAAGACCCTCAGGTTGTAGGGACACTATGGTACCAGCTTATTTACCCTCCTGCCCAACTTACTGTGTCTGAGGTTAACTCCAGGGCCCTGATCCAAAATCCTCCTCCCCTTTATTTGCTGTAGGCATATGACGTAATCACCTTTATAGTCATCACCTGTGTCTATAGCCACGCTTCTCACTCCTCCCTTCCTACCTATCCCTGACCCTAGGGGACTGTGCATCCCAGAGGGGTCCAGATCCTGGAAGAACTCATTACAAACAAAGCAATTACACAGGGCCTCTCTAGAACAAATTATCTTAGAGTCTTGCAACAGTGACTGATTACAGTTGCTGATCACATCTTACTACACTTTGGGGGATCATGAGAATGGAGAGCTCAGAGATAGGTGCTTAATCATTGTGTGCTTAGGGAATGGAGAGGACACCTGTGAGGCTGAGGCCTCCATCTTGAGAAGTGAATAAAAACGGTTGGAGAAGTCGTAAAAGCAAGCAGGGACCAGTCTGTAAATGTCCTAAAATATCTGAAGGGTGTTAAGAGTTTAAGCTTTATCCTGTAGACAACAAGCATCAGTGGTCTTTGAATAGAGGACAACTGTGGAAGGACATATGCTTTGGAAATATTTCCAGGTGGCAGAATCTCTCACTATAACCCAAACAGGCCCTGCAAATAGGCCCTAGGAGAGAGAAAAACTGTAGCCAACAAGGATCAGGCTTTCATGACCCAACCATATACAGATACAGAGAAAGGACAGGAGTAAAAGATGAACTCTCAGATCACATTCGATTCTTCCTCGGGCCAATATGGAAAAGCAAATCCAGATCTGCAGCCCTTCGAGTTACTTCTAGCTCCTTAGCTCTCTAGGAAAACCTCAATAACCGACACCATCATTACCTCAACCACTCTCCACATGCCAAGTGACCTCCTCGTACTAGCTTTTCCTTACCCTACAATGGACGTTTATGACTCCTTCTTCCACACCGAGTCCATGTTCCCTTCTTCTTAACTGCAGCTAGATTCACCCTTCCTTCCTCATAAACCTGCATCCTCAGTGTTACTGCTTTTCTTGGGTTGCTATAATAGTGTTTCATCAACCTTTACTGGCATCCAAAAGAATCCTCTGCATATCAGATATGGTCTTCCATTTCCTCATTATGCAGAGAAACACAATTTTCCATTGTTAACTGGGATTGAAGTACCACAGGCAGTAGAGTAAACCCCTTTCTGCCTATTGATTCGGAAACACCATGGAATATTATGCAGCCATCAAAAATGATGAGTTTGTGTCCTTTGTAGGGACATGGATGAACCTGGAAACCATCATTCTCAGCAAACTGACACAAGAGCAGAAAATCAAACACCGCATGTTCTCACTCATAGGCGGGTGTTGAACAATGAGAACACATGGACACAGGGAGGGGAGCACTACACACTGGGGTCTGTTGAGGGGAAATAGGGGAGGGCGGTGTGGGGTGGGGAGTGGGGGAGAGATAGCAAGGGGAGAAATGCCAGATATAGGCGAAGGGGAGGAAGGCAGCAAATCACACTGCCATGTGTGTACCTATGCAACAATCTTGCATGTTCTTCACATGTACCCCAAAACCTAAAATGCAATTAAAAAAAAAAGAAAATAAAACAAAACTCACAATTGAAAGGTGTCTATGTGGGAAAAGAACTCCATATCAGAGCTTAGAAATTCCTTGAAAACTTCACTAACTCTTTATGCATTCTCCTACACACTACTTGCAGTGGGGTACCAAATTGAGAAACACAGGAACAGTCTGTCTGTTTCCAGAAGCAAGCATTAGCTAGATACACAGAGCCCCTAGTCTCAGGTTATCTGACCTACCAAGTGAAGGGCAATTTGGTTTTAGGTATGAGCGTTGAATCTCCATTTTCTAACTGGAATAAAATGTTGATTCCAAGATGTTCTTTTCCTAAAAGCTCTGTGACTGTACTG